CGGAAAAGCGTGGCCGGAAAGATTGGGAAATGTTTCGATTGCTCGCGCGCTTTCATCTCTCTCGCGGCGCTTCTTATTATCTGACATTTGAACCGCAGATTTTTTTGCGCCGAATCACGCAAGTCATCGATGGAGTCATCGATGAAAATGCTGTTTTGTTATAGATTTCATAAATACATTTCGTCATCGATATTTGTGTATTAATTCAAGAGTTTCATAATCCTCGTGTGTTCCTTTCCCTTCTCAATCTCAATTTTTTTCTCCCGTTTGATCGCGAATTTCGTTGACACATTCCGTATACTTCGCTCGGAAAGGAAGAAACGTCCTCGGATGTGGGCGGCTTGATGGCGGCGCGCGTAACATTGACATTGATTGTCGTGTCGTTTCCGCCCTGATATCACGGATCACGACAAAATGTGAAAGGAAGCGGAAAAAGCGTGATCGTAATGAGATTAATGGGCGCGCCCTATTATCGGACGTACATGGAAAACCTTTCACGCATGCTATTACCAACCTAGTAAACAAAATATGCCATGAGAAATGATCGATCTAAGTGAGGTAGGTCTACACCGTTTTCACGATATCACGATATCGTGAAATCGTGATCTATGTCAGCTCTAATATATATGTTATGTGTGTATATATACATGTATATATATACATGCAGAAACTTAAAGAGAATATTTTAAACAAGAAAATTTTAATATAAATTATTATTACGCAGAATTATTATTTGCAGAGCTATAAGAACTAAGAAAAATTCGTGTACTTAATTCTATTTTTCGAGGGAAAGAACGTGACTTTTTGTAATTTATTTTATCTTTTGCGTGTCATGTTTATATTAAAGCCGATAAGCTTCATAAATACCGATGACTTATTCGCGGTCGCGTTAAAGTCGATTAATCGTCGCGAATGAAATTCAAGGACTCGTCGTCGATCGCGCGACACAACTGAATATCCTTAAAAAGATTTAGAACGAGGACACGGGTGCGCGAAATTGCGAACGGATTCTTCGCGAGAGAAGGGCTATTTTTATCACGCGTGCGTCTGCCCGATCTAATGAAAGCCATATTCCATATTCAGCGATTCGTTCAATCTGTAGTTCATTAAAACCTCGTCAAGCAACATCGTGGGAAAAAGGTGGCCAGCGTTTCGCATGTACAGTTATGTTTATTTCTCGAACGATTAACCCTTCCATGTGTAAGCTTGTGGAATTCCCCAAAGTCGCCTAAAAATTCTTCTCATAAAAATTGATATCACATAAGTTTTCCTTAGTCAAGCTTTTTATTTTGCCTTTAATCGTAAATTGTCTGTAATTAATTTTTTTCTTTTTCATTGAGAAATGTGATAAAGAAATGTCTTCGAGATTTGCAATCGGGTCAGCGGCGCGTAAGTGCTTTTATATAACGATAATTAGAATAATCAGGTTAATGATGGCTGAGACCAGCGGGTAAATATGATACTGCATTATTTCCCGGCGATAAAAGTAATTGTCATCGTTTTTAATCGTTTTATAACCGTTATCGTCGGTGCATGTTTGCTACACAATTTCGCTTCAAACTGATAAAAATCATTTTTAATTAAGCGGATGGGCTCCATGAATGGTTTCGAGGAAAAATATTTGTCTACATATTTCTGTGTTTGTTTTCCTTCCCCATTATTTTGCGGCTTTATCTCGATTTTTTTCAGTCACATCGCTAAATAATTTCGAGGGACGCGTAATCTATTCCCGGTTATTCAAGGCGTAAAAATTGCAATGTAGAAGCATCCTTTTACTCGCGTCGTCTAAAAATAATGTCGCGCGTGGAGGCGTCAGGACGCCGAGGCGTTCCCTTTATCTTGCCGACGCGTCTTTTAATCAGCGACGAATATCATAATATAAAGTTATCCTTAAAAATCTTATCGTGCGAGATACGCGGTGCATTGCACTTCGATGCGCGCACAAATCCACGTGGCTGCGCCAGACACTCGTATTTCTCATACGAGTATCATCACCCGAGCTAATTAATGTCAAGCGACTTCATGCGATCAAATTGTACTCATTTACCGTAAATCTAAAATGTTTCCTTTCCGATGCGTTTTCGCTCGTGACGTAGGAAATCGTTCTTCAGCCTTTTGGACAGCGTTATTTAAAATGCGACGTTTAACTTCGCCACCGCATTGACATTCACCGATAGCGTCGTTTTAATTTTAACATTTATCCGCCGCGCGTTTTCGTCCAAGGCTGCGCGCTGTCTGGTCTTTACCCGGCGGAACATCGCCGGGAACAAAAGAATGGAAAACGTATTATACCCGCGCGAAACGAAGCGAGATCGAACGTTGTGGAATAAAACAAATATTTCTGGCGCGTGTGTCGCAACTCGCGGCGTATCTCGCAATTCTCTTCGTGACCCGCAGTCTCTCAATAATTGCGGCAAATAAACGTTAAAGCAATAACGTGGGAGGCACAAATACGTAAGCGCACTATGCGCTCGACTGCTTTGCTCCGCTTCTGTTCAATTTAATTTGTTCAGGTGTACCTTTCTACAAGCGTATTATATTCGCGCGAAAGTTTTACACGCTGTCCACGCGTGTCATACGTATATCACTGATATCGCGCCAAATTGGTCTACGAAACGTTATGAAACGTGAAAGTCAGTCGCGCGAACCTCATAAATTTACATTACGATTCGCGGATTTTGTGTATTTGAAATAATACGATTATACAATTAAAACAGTTATAGCTATCTCGCGAATAATGGCTGTCGCGATTGCATCGATGTGACAATTGAATCGCGACGACGCAGTTTGTGCGTGAAAACAGTGACATGCAACATGCAACTTCTCGTTAGTAATTCGCGTGGGTAGAAAACATCGCGTTCTCGCGCCGATCTCGCTCGCCTCGGATTCGAGGAAACCTTTCCGCGACGCACAGCTTCACACGTTGCCCAATTCACCTGCGTTTACGATCTGCGCAATTCGGCGAAGCGACTTTACGATTCGCCGCTGCTGTTAAGAAATCGAGTCGATTCGCTAGTGCACGACTAATGAAACTTGCTCGTATCGGAGAATTGACTCATTCGGTGAAAGTTCCCCAAGCCCGTTTTGATTGCAGTTTTTCGACAGAGCTATTTTATGAGTTGTCAATTATTTTATTTTTATATTTCTGTTTATTCAACGGATGACAAGCAGACATTATTATGCAAACTAGCGTTTAACGATTATTCAGATTATACACTTGTCCTCGCACGCGTTTGGTAATTTTTCAGAAAATATCTGCGATAAAGATTATTTTGAAATTTAAATCATGGAGTAAATTATGGCACAGAATTTAAATTTTCTGAGGGAAAAATCACGTATCAGATAATTTAGGATTATTAAAGGGTGATAGTTTCGTAATGATAAGGGAAAGAGAACTTTCCAAGATAACAGGCTACCGCGGGGTTGATTGGTTAATTGGCTTGCGCTTTTACATTGACGTCAAGCTTGTACGTTCGCTCCGATTTGTCGGATCGTCAATTATTGCTCTATCCGGTCGATCGTGCCGCCTAACTTCCCGTTCCTCTTCGCCGACGATTCTACACGCGTTCTTTTACGACGCGGAATTCAGTAATCACGATTTATTAATAAATCTATTTACCAAAAGCAATTATTCTCAATTTCACTCAGCTGAATATGTTTGGCACAGTGTGTCTCGTAATAGACGGTGCAATTAGAAAGGTAATAAATCTACAAAAAATAAGTAAAAAATATATGGAATAAAATTTTTTCATATTTTCCCAATTTTTCCGAAAAGAAAATCTCGTATAAAATATTTTGTATATTTTTAATCTATTTTTCATGTAGAACCACTGTTCTGATTATTGTGCTATCTATTACGAAACATTCTGTATAGTAAACATTGACTTCAAAATTTAATTATAGCGTTAGTAAAACTAGCGTTAGAGTAAGCCCATGAAATAAAAAAATATAATTTGAGACATATAATTTATGTCGCTGCCGGTGAATTGCAACTAGAATATACAGAATATGTTAAAAAGATACGCGCATGATAGTAACTGCTCTAAGGATCCTAAAAACGAATTTAATGTGAACGATGGGTTGTGAAAAGTTTGTCCCGTGCCACTTTTGCCCCCGAACTGTCCATTAATCGCGCCGCGGCTATCGCGAGCGTAGAAATCGAGGTTAATCCGCGTTTCATGGCACTGATCTCGGACACCGGCGATGGGCTTGACGTTGATGCATCGGTTAAATGGACACCCGATCCCCTCGAAGGGAATCACTCTCGGCGAGCCTGTGCGAACCGGAGACAATGCACGCGCGATGCAACACAGTCATGTATGTGTCATAGATTGGGCCTATAGTCATCATTCAATAATCAGTCGTAGTATCGTAATTGCAACGCGTGCTCAAGGACGAGCCGAGACGAGTTCTTTCGCTCGCGATAGATACGGCACGTATCTCTCCACAAGCTTGACTGTTAGATAGAAGAATCAAATATAAAAAACACACTAAAATTCACACTAAGAAAATAATTAATTATTTCCTTAATCATTAATTAATTAATTAATTAACTACATTTAACTTGAATTTTAATTTCGACTAATAAGCAATCTCGGTTGTTCACCAGATTGTGAGAAAAGAATATGACCTATTTATAATATTATCTGTTGAGCTCTTTATTCACAGCATTCAGAATAAGTGGATTATAAGCTTGCGTTATTAGTTAAGAAAGATTAATGCATAAATAATAAATCACTTCAATCCATTAAAGATCGATTCTCTAAAGTAGACCGGAATTTATTCTTCGTCTAAATAATTCTGGAGATTATTTAAAATTTGTTCCGCAAATTTTATATTAAATTTCTTAATGTTATTTTATTATTTTAATCTTTCTTGGAAAGATGAGGAAAGATTAAAATATAATAATATGCATTTAGATATTAGAAAATATTTCTTTTCAATATTCTTCTCAAGATTTTGACGGCATAATATAGAAAACGCTTTCACCTGTATTGCAGATCACTCTTACTACAGTTACGCCGGGTGGAACGCCAAGTCATCGTTCGATCACCAGTCTTTACATATCAGACTAATCGACGAGAATGTAGGGAGGGTGCGCCGTGCAACGCCTGACAAATCGGTGGTGACAACTGAGCAGAAAGAAGACCCACTTAAGGATCAATCATCGGCGCAGCCGCAACCGCAGCAGCAGCAACCACAGCAACAGCAGCAGCAGCAACAACAACAACCGCAGCAGCAACCACCGCAGCAATCGCAGCAACTGCCATCGCAACAGCAGCAGCCGCAGCTACAGCAACCGCAACAACAGCAACAAGCTTCGCCAACACAACCAGCGACGTCAAACACGACCAACGCATCCCCCGACGTAACATATTCCACGGCTTATTCGACCGGCGAAGCCACTTCCACCACTGTACGGCCATCTGATTCTATTTCCAGTCTCAAGCCGGATTTTAAAAAGAAGGCGTCGCAGGCAGCAAATCCTGCAACCGACGCGGTAGGTATTAGTGGTGGATTTATCGAGTTGTTTTTACGTCCAGAGATTCGTACGTATAAAGCGAAACTTCTCTCCCCTTGTCAATTGTACAGATATACGTGACTGTTTAACAATTCTGCATCCGTTCGCAGGCGACACTACACGCATGGGCAAATCGCACCCTGTCGATTCGCAATATCACCGACGTCGGCGAGGTGGAGCAGCCGAAACCGTCGGCGGCAAAGGACACGGCAGACGATGCCATAAAATCCGACGACATCAGCGATATTTCCATTAGCAAATTCTCCGACGTGACTAACACTACGCTTACGCAGAACAACATCACCAAGACGGTTTACGACACGCATCAGTATTACAACAGCACTTTTATCGTCAACGACGGTATCTGCAAAAAGTACTGGGTCGACATGGACAAACACCCGGATCTTAGGGTCAATCATCTGCTTAGTCAGAGCCATCGACGTGCCGCGGTGAGACTCGCTTGTCATTATTTCGCATTATATAGCTACTGTCGTGAGAAAGTGAAAACGATATAGAAAATGGCGATTATTATATATGTAGCGTTTTTTCTATTTTTTATAATAATTAAAGAAAAAAGCGATTGGTATAAATACAGGTATGACGTATATACACGTTTGGAATATTCAATCTCTGTTGCACTGAAAGATTAATTAGAACTTACATGTAAGAGAAACGTAAGGATCGGTTAATCGTTAATTCCGCTAAGGATAAGTTTCAGAATTGAGCCGCGATTTCTACGCTGTTGCAGACCGTTAAGCTGAAGTTTGATTTCCCATTCTACGGCTATAACGTGCGCAATATCACTATCGCCACCGGCGGTTTTCTCTACACCGGCGACTACGTGCACAGTTGGCTGGCCGCCACCCAGTACATTGCACCGCTCATGGCGAATTTCGATACCCGCCTGTCGAACGAAAGCTACGTCAAGTACGCTGACAATGGTGAGTCATCGGAATCTCGAACGGACGGTATTTTCGTGCCATCTGAAGGACGTTCGTTCTTACATTTTCTTCCGAAGTCAATCATTGCCATCGGAGGCCCATTACGGCCGAGTCATTTAAGAAATCCTTCGCGTGTTTGCGTTTGCCGTGTGTGGCTAAATTTAAAATAATTTATGCCTTTAGAATTTAAAGAAATCTTATTACGATAAGCGAGTTGTCCTAAAATTCCGCATGCTTTTTTGAAAACATTCGACAGGCTTTTCGAATTCTTTTCGAATAAGCTAATTTTCTCTAAATCCTTTCTCCTCGCCGAACTAATCGCGTCGCAAAGCGATCGCGTCAGTAGTCAATCAGCAGCCTCCAGGGGAGACGGAGGGTGAGAGAGGAAGAATAAATCGGCGCGACGATTTGCCGATCGTAATTACACGCCTCGTCAAGCAACCGGTGGCAAAGAAACACGGCGCGGCGCAAAACGTAGTCGTGCCCTGATCTCGCGGCGCGAGATTGTTATATTCCCTTTTTGATTTGTGCGACAGGTACGGCGTTTACGGTCGAATGGGAGAACGTGGTGCTGCAGGACAGGCCGAAAGCCGGCGCGTTCACTTTCCAGGTGACCTTGCATCAGAACGGAGACATCGTGTTCGTCTATTCGGTGATACCGCTCCTGGTCGAGAAAATCGTGGACACGATGCATCCCGTCAAGGTCGGCCTCAGCGACGCCTATATCATGGACCGAACCGTGTTCTGTGAGTGTTCGCTCGCTTATTACTCAATTTGTCCATTACTCCGTTTGTCCATTGCGTAACTATCGCGGGATAATATCTGCGTCATCGCTATTGATCATCGGACGCAGAGAAACTACTATATACGCGAATAGGCGACGATGTTAACTGGACTCGGTCCCGACGTCCTAGAAGCGACCAGAAATTATCTGTGTGCACGCATACAAAGTAAAACAATTCCTACGACTTTCTACGATGACGAGCATAGGTCTACCACTTCCGTAATCAAAGTTACGAGACAAAAATTTACAAGATGTTATCTTTATCATTTGGTGTATTTAAATGTCGAATTTACACTAAAGTCCAGATATAAATTCTCAAAATTGCGATTTAAATAGACGTATCGCGAATTAATGTTCGAATACTTAAAGATACACCTCGAAAACTCAATTCGCTGATCTCGCTTCGCAGTCGTACGACGGAAAACCATTTACGAGTACCACCGTGTCAACTTCAACCGGCAGGACATAAAGAACTGCACGGTCATCTACCTGAAAGCATTGCCCACGTGCCTGAATTTCGACAACTGCCGGGACTGTTTGACAAAGGTGCCCGAGTTCGATTGCAAGTGGTGCCGGGAGTTGAACAAATGCAGCACCGGCACGTCCCGACAGAGGCAGGAGTGGCTGCTGAAGGGTTGCGACGTACGTAACATCAAGGAGATGGACAATTGTCCGGCGCAGATTACAACCTACAGGGGCGATCAGTATGACCACGATGGCCACGTGCATCCAGAGGAGTCGATCGCCACCAACGAGATGGGCGCGAAGCAAGAGCGATCGGGCAGCATATCTTCCTTGGAGAGCCCTCGTAAGTACTCTCATTTAACGTTTGTTGCGGCATCGAGTTATTAATTGAATTTGTGGCAAGACGCATAAGATTCTTACGAGCGTAAATTCGCACGCGATGTAAAACTTCAATTTTGTACAGAAAATGCGATTTGTTAATTTGTAGTCTTATGTTAGAACCGGTTGAAATTAGTCCGCGTAATTTCCACAACTTCTTAGTTCAACCTCGAAGCTCGTTTGATCGTTAATTGAAATACTCGAATTACGCGTATTTATTTGCTCTAATAATCTCTCTTTTCTCTTCAAGTCCAGGATAACGCGACTAGTAATTAATTTCGTCGCATTAAGCAATTTATTCTGTTTCTTTTTTAGCTTCGAACAAGGTGAATATGGGCGTTTCGGGAATAATCGGCATTCTCACCGTCGTCGCTTTAGTGGTGGGTCTCGCAGGTTGGGGAGTATACGCTTATCGCAACCCTCACAGCGCATCGGGACAGATGCTGATCAGGGTAAGACTAGTTCTCTTCAAATTATATCATTAAATTGTAGTAATAGTATATATAAACGAGTAATGGTAACTGTTTTTCTCTGTTTGTTGTTCTTTTCCATTATCACTGTTTGCATTGATATTATTGCTGATTAAAATATTTACTTGCTTCCTTTATTGTTATTTATTGAAAATTAAATCTTGATTGTTGATCTCTCTTGTTTTATTTATGTAAATTTATTAATTTTATTCTGTATAATCATTGGAATATCAATAATCGTTTTTCGCTTTAATTCGCTATTAAATATGGATTTTCCACTTATCGGCCTTATTGGTTTCTCAATACCGGATATATTGATTTTGCGTTTACTGATCTCATCTATCACGGAATTGACCTTTCAGTATCGTCCGAGCCAATGGAGCTGGCGAAGAGGCGAAGCTCGTTATACGGCCGCGACTATTCATATGTGATGAGGTGTCAACGGAGATCCAGTCACAGTCAATGCGAAACTGTTGAGTAAATTTCCTATTAATTGTAGCCGAGCGTGTCGGGTAAGTCTGCGGGAGTGCAACGCGTCGCAGAACGTCTACTCGCGATGACCCCGTTGCTCGTCAGGTTTGCGTCATGCTTTTCTCATGCGACGAATTCCAGGCGGAATGGATTAATTGACAAGCGACAAGCGAACATACCCTTTCAATTCTTCTAGATTTGACCATATGTCGAGAGTACATATTGCTATTTTAATAATTTGACTGTATACAAGAATATTATACGTGAGAGATTTTATCGTATATATGATGATATTTTAACGATATGAAAGAAGAAATTACGTATATGAGAATAATTAAGACTAGCTAAGAGAAAATTGATTCCGTTGGAAATTATGAAATTTCTATTAACTATTCACTTACGACGTGAATATAATGCGCTATCGATCGGTGCGACGTATATATACATAAATTCACTCTGACAAATGAAAAGATCGCTCCGCGTGATCGTACTAAACGGCGAAGATTTTCGAGATATTATGAACCGTTTGCGACAGCAGCGCGTTCAAAGCAACGATTAATATTGGTACAATTTTGCCGAGTTCATTTAGATGTTAAGAGTATACAGAATCATTAGTCTTATGCTTATTCGAATAGATGAAACGCGATGTTCGACACAAGATCTTTTTTCGCATACCAGTGGCGTCGAAAATTGTACTCGGCGAAATGACGTACACCGATATTAAATCGTGCTTTGAAACGCGATCGATGACACAAGCTGCGGAGGCAAAAGCCGGTGTCGTTCCGAGTTTTCTTTTGGAAAACGCGTTTACGGTTTCTCGCGATGTCGGAAGAGGATGATCGTAATATCGAGACACGGAGACGACGATCGGGAACGTCGAGCATTTATGTGATTCTTAGCAGCACATGGTATACCTTGTTATTGTTTAAGAATTCGTTTTCTTTTTTTTCTTATCGTTAGGCAAATTGCAGTAATTGTTTTATATATACGTAATGTTCACAGCAAGAAGAGAGCAACGTTTTGGGAAAGTAACAAAAAAAAAAAAAAATTGACGAAAAATCGAAAGTTCCGATCTAACGTGAAGTTCGATGGGCTCGACTACAGTTCGGTGACGGTGGGCTCTTCGAGCAGTCGACAAAGAGAGAGAGAGGAAAACCTCTAAATTATTTATAATTCAACTTACATCGATCGAAAATGCGTGCTAGAATCATTTGCATTGTCGTCGCCACATTCCAAAGCGTGCACGTTTCTCGAAAGTGAACTGCGGAGCCACGTACGAACTGTAGTTTTATCGGCCCAATTTATCATCACACAAAACACCCATAAATATATATAATTATATAATTTATGTAGTTATAATTATATAATTACATATATTAATAATTCTATACATATATAAAATTATGTATAATTATTTAGATATATATGTATTAAAAATATATATATATTTAAATAATTATATACACGCTCTATATAATTATATAGTTATAACTATATGATTGTTTTTTTTATATACAAAAATATATTTTACGACCAAATTTTTCGAAGATCACACGAGCACTTTATAATACGCGTGAGACGTTAAGTGAGCTGGAAAAAAAAACGAGATAGCACGAGATATGAAGATTTTATAGCATCTACAATTTCATTAGTTTGTGAGTGTATATAGTAGTTTTATGAAAAAACAATATAATTTTTATCTATTTTTAAGTGTATAATTTTCACTGTCAAAGGGTGCCTTCTTCATGAAATTTTCAGGCGACATATCGTGTATAATAATAAATAGGCGACGAAGAGGCCTGAGGGGAAAAATCTCACTGTAAATCACGATTCTCAAAAGAGTGTTTCGGTCCTCTTTGCGAAGGCGAATTTTCTACGCAATCACGTAAAGATCCATTAATGCGTTATAATCTGTCAATAGATATTCGTAGCGATTGTGATTTCACCGCGCGACAAAGCCAACTGGAGGGGACTGGAATAAATTATAGTCGAACGGGCTTTTCTTACATTACTGTGTACGATGTAATTCATAGTTTGTGATAATAAATATTGTAATTATTATAATAAGTTCTGTGTGATTTCTTTTCATTCACGAGTCGCATAAAAAATTCCTAATACTAAAATAAAATTTTGTCCCACGACAAAAAAAATAAATTCTCTTTTGTGAAAATAATAGATTCGTGATATAATTATTTGCGGAAGCAGCATATAACATTTTACAAGACAATTTGCATCGGGAAATCGTATATGACGTACTTGCAGTCGATAAACACCTAGCGGTTTCATGTCTCGATTACCAGGTGACACTCGGTGTATCAAACGATATCTGTGATATCAATTTGTATAATAATTATATATATATATGTATTGTATATGTATAATGTAATATATATTACATATATAATATACATACACATTTATATGAATGACACGTGTCACGAATGAGTTTTCATGACAAACGTAATGTATTAAAAGTTATATTGCAAGTATTAAATATTATATTTTTGTTTTCTAAAAACTTGTACATATTATATAATTCTTTTCAACGAGTATAAAATGTGTTTATCGGAATCTCTCTTTTTATTTTCAAGAAATCAATAAAATTTTTCATTATTATGACGAATGTTTCTATATATTACATCGTCATTATTATATTTCGTGCATTTTTATAAAAAAAAAAAGAATTCCAAGAGTGGCATTTAAACTATTGTCAAGTGTTTCGTGTGAATGGCGCTTTCCATATCACTAAGAGAATCCTGAATCCTCCATCATCTTCCTCAATCTTTGTTAAGTTCCATGTGTTGCTGTCATTGTTCTATAGCATTCGAAATGACTGGCGTCAAGCACAACACCAGTTAGAACCATTTAGCTATGCGACGAGGAAATTGCGACGAGAGTACCTCCGGTGCGGAAGGAGCGTATGGCGCGCATACGGAACATGTGCAGTCGTAATATGTAATGAGGATACGTTGGAACACGTACGTCCTCGCGGGAACGTGCCGACATGCCATATTTGACTTTCCTCTCCCGCGAATAACGTGGCAAGATAGTAGCTTTAATCTTAATATTTCAATGCCAGTACAAATCTCGTCATTAATGAGGGAATAATATATGTATCGCACTTGAGAAAAATAAAATTAAAGAGAGGAAAATCTCTTCAAATAAAAATCCTATTACTTTGTCCTTAAACAACGAATAACGGAATTAAACGTAAAATCGACTTATCTTTTCGCGAATTGCCTTGCAGAAATGTCTAACGTTTCTCGCTCGGAAATGCAAGTCTCCTGGCATCTTTCTCGAGAAATTGCTAAAAGGAATATGTAATTGCATCGGCGCGTAATGAATGTATTCTCGTACACGGGCGAAAGCTGAATATGCATTCGCAAACTGATTGAATAATCATATTTGCTGCATTTGCAATTTGTTTACTTTTATCCGATTTGCATTTACTCGCGTTTTGTTTCGTATTAATAGTAATACAATAATATTCAGTTGTTATATTTAATTCACGTGTAGTTTTGAAAAGAATGTGCTGTCGTGAGTTGTTAAATAAAACGTGCGTGAATCAAACAATAAAAATAATTTGATGAATAATATAATCAGAGAATAATAGTAACAGTTTATCAGTTTTTGTTACAATCACTGAATTATTATAATTGTATAAAATAATAATATAATAGTGTAATAAACTATCTTGTTTCTTATAATTCCTAACATGAAAAGCTGAGTTTTAGCAGTTTTAGCTGAAAGAACGTACATTTTTCGTAAGAGTCACTTTATTCCTAAAGTTATTCTCTCTTTTTTGATATAACAGCGCCAGTTTCTGCGGTTGATTTACTCCATATTGTGAAAAATTTCTAATTACCAGAGATTACTTGAATTTATGCCTTGCCAACGTTATATATCTCCTACTTTTGTCAAGACCATATCGCCCTCCAGGCTTCATGTATCACCGAATGCGATTTTTCCTGACTTTTTCGTTTCGAATGTTTTATCACGTACGATGAACAAAAAAAAAAAGGTACACAGCTCCCAGAGTTTTGAGATTTATTTGTGCAGATTTTTAAAAAATCGGGCTTTACATGCGCGTTTTTATCGAATCTTCTCAATGAAACGGATTTCCGGCGCGTAACGAATCCTATTTCATCCTAGCGATATGTGACGAAAAGCTGTCGCTTTTCGATGCATTGGGGATGCTATATGTGCTTTTTATCGTGCCATAAAAATCTTTTACAGAAGCGCGGTTTTCTCCCCTGTATGTCAGCCCTCTTTAATTTTTCGCTTTAATTATGAAACTATCCAAATGAAAGAAGCATTTCCAATTATGTTAAACATTGGAATTGTTACATCGTCTAAAACTTTTTGTACTGTAACGCATTATAGCATGCCAGTAACAGATTCAATCAGAATTATTAGAAAGATCTCGATCCTATTCTATCGTAATTTATAGAAGCATTAAATTTTTGCAAATTAATAATACAAATTGGATTGTAGTAAAGTAAAGTAATGCGTAAGACAGATGTGTTTCACTTATCACAGAATTAATTACCAACATTGGCTTATAAAGGTTCAAATTAGTAGTAAATCTAACCAATTATTTAAATAATTATTACATTAAATAAAATCCCCGTTATTAAGCGAAACAATCTTTTAGCCTCGTCTGTCAATAGTTTACTTATAATACATATTATCCAAATTGAAATGTGCTGTAAAATAGAGATCTAAATGTTAAAGTTAGAATTGGAGAAGACAATATTTCTCTAAAATGTCATAACGTTTCGCCATACGTGCGTTTTTTGCCGGACGTGAACTGCCATTTTCGCTTCGAAGGATTTTCACGTTCCGAATTGCGATAGCGAAATTTTATGAAGTCGCAGTGCCGCGACCGGAATCGATTTACCGCTACGGATATCGTGCTGACTCTATAAATGCGATGGGATGGCACGTACAATATTGTCAGTGAAGTTTACGTCGATTACGCGTCAAGTGACGATTGAAGCAGCGTCAAGATGTATTTTAAAACGTAAAACATGAAACTGCGTATGGGAAGTATAGTAATAATTAAAATATTTACATTTGTCCGAGCAGAATTTTCAAGGAAGCGACGACGGCGCTTCCGGGATAAACAATTCATATACAACGCACTCGTCGCGAACGTTTGCGTTCTTCACGATTACTTGAGCCATATTCATATTTCACGTTTCGCGCAAACTTCGAGTCCGTAAAGCGTAAAAAGAAAAAGCTCGGGGGGTCGTCAAAAGCGCGGAATACGCGCGGACATAAATTGCACGGTTTCGGCAAACGTCATAAAGTACAATTGCACGGTTTCAGCAAACGTCATAAGGTACTTTTGCCGAAATCAAACACGGTGCAAGTCCCTCAGGCTGCCTCCTTATTGTTAATTCAGCCGAACTACGAAGCTGGGCGAGGGTCTTTGCTTGTGCCTTAGCGCTTGTGTTCGAGACTGAAGTCTTTGACTCCATGACAGCTGTCAACGAATAAAACGCTGACTACGGTATCGAATTGTGCACTGTACAGCGATGTCAATGCGGACTTGGTAGACTGAAGTTACGTAGCGATTAATCCTATACCGGCATCAAACAAGAAAGCTATGCTAATGTTGAATGTCCAGACACAAGACAGTCGCTTTTAACTTAATACAAAAGTTTGTAAGCGCAAGTTTGCAAACTTGTTGATTTATTCACTTATGTTTGTAATTTAATTAATGTAGAACAGAATTTAATTCCTGATTTTGAAGAACTTAATTACTTATTGCTGTGTTCTAGACGAATAATGTGTCATTATTAAAATTAATATATAAAAAATGTTTTATTTTATATATTAATATACATATTTTTATTATATATAATTTAACTGTCATTATATTACGTATACGTGTATGATAACAGTTGAAATTTAAACGGCAAACGCTCGAAGAAAGGACCTTTTCATCGTTAACTTGTAAATTTGCGACTAATAATTTGCGGGTCTCTTATTGTTCTGGAGTTTAATTAACGCGTATAGAGTACATTTAATAATTATTTATTA